TCTGGCCACTTGGTGCTTAAGTGTCATGAAAGTAAACTTGAGGCTTTGGGGGTTTGGACTGTTTGTTCTCAGACAAAACAACCAATTTGATTAATTAATCTTTATTGATAGTTTCTAAATTAAGACAGTAGGGCTACAAATTGGGATTATTATCATTATCAATTAACCTTTTACCTTTTTCTATTTGAATATATTATTTATGTGTCTATTATAATGTGACTGTATATAAAATCACCATGTAGACAAGGTAAAAGCAGAGAAATTCTCAACTTAAGACACGCTAATCATCAAACACAATTTTTAGACAAAATAGAAAATGACCCAAATAATGAATAACAATTATCAAATTTAATTTTCTCTCTAATAATTAAGCTCTTTATAACAGTTGACAGGATCAAGAATTTAACACACACAGAGAGGATTCTGAACACAACGAGTCTGAGTTCAGTGTGTTGACATAATAACAAAGCTGACTATTCAAAACAACCAAGCTTCAGTTAATTACTTGCGGACTACATGAACATATTCTATTATATGTCATATATGTTAATATATTATTCGATTTATTACTTCCTGCTTCTTGTATTGTGAGACTGTGACAGACACGCCTGCTTATATTCATAGTTGTTGATGTTATCAAACCCTGCTATCACTTACACAACACGCACAATCTCTGTTTTATCAGCAGGTTTTAGCCACATTTTAGCATGCTATTTAAAATTACAACACAATGCTATCAAACACAGTCACGAGACAAAAGGAAAACGCAGTGACTTGGTACAGCAGCTCTAACAAGTATTAAGCTTCCTGCTAATCTAGCTAATACCTAACATTGTAGCGCTGTAACGATGTTGCTAAGCTAACGTACCTTGTTTCAACACTCGGACCGGGGAAGTAAGAGGGAATTATACTCCCTGGGTATCAGTGGACACAGTCACTACTCCCCGGATACAGCATGAATAACACACAGTTTATTCCCGACTCTCAAGGCCGTTTATTACTGTGCCACTTCACACAGACTGCTGAACTAGCCAGAGTCCCTCTGCTTTGATAACAGCTGGATGTTTTCTTCCTGTTTGTGGCCGTTAACACCAGAATTACGTCACTCTGAAGCGTTTTCTCTACTGATGCAGTGGGTTGGTATCAAACATACTATTGGTTTACCGCACCCTACTGGGCAGAAAATTTGAACTACAGATAAAAGAGCTCTTAACATTGGGTGGTTTACCGTGTTAGGAATGTTTCTCAAGGTGTATTTACCTTAAGCTATCTACACTGAAAATAAATAAATTATATTAATGAATAAAATCTATTAACAAACTTAATAAGAATACTGATCATTTGCTAAAGTGAGAATTTTGCATTTAAGGCCATGTACACGAAAGTCAAAGCAACTGGATCAATGCGTCTGCGCATGATAGGGAGAGAAGCAATATAGCTTTTCATTCTTTAGTTATATAATGGGAATTTATTGGAGAACAAACCAAATTTTATAAAGATAAGTTATATAATTAAAGAGATAAAGGATGCAGGCCTAAAAGTTGGTGATTTGTCCTTACAATAAGTGGATGTTGAGGAATTATTCAGCTGGATCTTTGTAGTATTCAATATTAACATGAGAAATTCAGAAGGCATAAGGCTGCTGTGAGAGTGTGATGTTTGGATGTTTGGTATTGGAGACAGTAAGGTGTGTGTCTGTCAGTCAGTGTGTTTGTATACTCTTAAGAAACATGTTGTACTGTATGCAACAGGTCAGTGATCAGATTTCTGATCTTATTCTGGAAACATGGTTTCATTTAAAAAAAAAAAAAAAAAAAAAATAGCAGTGAAGTAGGTGGATCAAAGAAGACTTCATTACACATGGGCACGGGCATCTTCCGATTAGAAATGAAACTAATATAAAATAATAATAATAAAATAAGTCAGCTTCCACGACTTATACAGTATATATATATACATATATATATATATATATATATATATATATATT